AGAGCTTTGGCTATTTGAGGTTTTTGTTATTTCATATGAATTTCATGAATATTTGTTCTGTTTTCTTAAAAAAGATTTATTTATGCATACAGGAACTGGGGTACAGGCTAGAGGTGCAAGGGGGGTGTGAGGGGATTCACCAGAGATAGAGTGGGGAACAGAACAAGCAGATCTACCAAAATACACTGCTGAGAGGGAGCAGCGGGGGAGTCAGGAGTGGTCTGCTACACCATGTGGGTAGCTCCCTGGTTAGCCAGGGGATTGAACTTGTGCTGCAGAGGCTGTGGACTGCCTCACAGTGCTGTGCTTAACCCCTTGCACCACCTGGGAGGCCCAATATTTGTTCTATTTCCTTGAAGGGTGCCATTGGGATTTTTATTGGAATTAAATTGAATTTGTAAATTGCTTTTGATGGGATGGCCATTTTTGATTATGTTAATTCTTTCATTCCATGAACTGGGAATGTCTTTCCATTTCTTTAGGTCTTTTTCTATTCCTTTTATTCCTTTTAACAATGTTTTGTAATTTTCTTTGTATAGGTTTTCACCACCTTTGTTAGGTTTATTCCCAAATATTTATTTTTAATTTATTTTATTTTTTTAAAGATTTATTTATTTTTATATAAGAGCCAGGGTACAGGCCAGATGCACAGGAGAGTGAGAGGATTCATTGGAGACAGAGCAGGGAACAGAACAGGCAGAGTGAAGAAATACACTGCTGAGGGGAGCAGCGGGCGAGACAGGAGAGGTCTGCTTCGCCATGTGGGATTCTCACCTGCTGGCTGGGATCAAACCCTCACTGCAGAGGCTGCAGACAGCTTCACAGTGTGGTGCTCAATCGCCTGCGCCACCAGGGAGACCCTATTTTTTTTTTTTTTTTGGGGTAAAATTGTAAATGGGGTGGTTTTCTTGATTTCTTTTTAAGAGGGCTACTGATTTTTGTGGGTTCATTTTGTAACCTGCTATTTCACTGAATTGGTTTATTGTTTTAATTAGTTTTTTCCATGGAGTTTTTAGGGTTCTCTCTACATATTATCATAACATCTGCAAATAGTGATAGTTTTCTTCTTTTTTCCCCTATTTGGGTTCCTAGTATGTCCTCCTCTTACCTAATTGCTCTAGCTGGGAATTCCAGTATTACACTGAAAAGTAGTGGTGAGAGTGGACATCCTTGTCTTGTTCCAGATGGTAAAGGGGAGGCTTTCAGTTTTTCACCATTAAGAATAATATTGGCTGTGGTTTGTCATGGATGGTTTTTATTATGTTAAGGCATGGTTCTTCTATCCCAAAAATTTTGAGGGCCTTCATCATAAAGGGATGTTGAACCTTATCATATGTTTTCTCAGCATCTATTGATACGACCATATGGTTTTTATTTTTCTTTTTGTTAATGTAGTGGATTACATTAATTGATTTTCAGATATTGAACCATCCTGCATCCCCGGAATAAATCCAACTTGGCCATGATGTATTATCTTTTTGATGTATTGTTGGATTTAGTTTGCAAGGATTTTTTTTTTTTTTGAGAAAATCTTTTTTTAAAAAAGATTTATTTAGTTATTTATACATACAAGAACTGGGGTACAGGCCAGATGTACGGGAGGGTGATAGGGTTCACCAGAGACAGAGCGGGGAGCAGAACAGGCGGACTGACTGAAATACACTGCTGAGGGGAGCAGAGGGTGAGTCAGCAGAGCTCTGCTGTGACATATGGGTAACTTCCTGGCCAGGGATTGAACTCTTGCTGCAGTGGCTGGGCTGCGGATAGCTTCATAGGCTGAGTCTTAACCCCTTGCACCACCAGGGAGGCCCCTGTGAGGATTTTATTGAGTATTTTAGCATCTGTTTAGTGAGATTGGTCTGTAGTTTTCTTTTTTGTGTTGTCTTTGGTTTTCGGATTAGTGTAATGTTGACTTCGTGAAATGTACCAAATGGCCACTTTTTTAATGAGAGAATTCACCAGAGCCAGAGCGGGGAGCAGAGCAGGCAGAAGGACCGAAGTACACTGCTGAGGGGAGCAGCGGGCGGCAGGAGAGGTCTGCGCAATGTGGGACCCTCCTCCGGTGGCCGGGGAGCAGCCGGGGATCGACCCGGCGCTGCAGAGGCTGCGGGCAGCTTCACAACCCAGCGCTCAACCTCTGCGCCACTGGGGAGGCCTCATTGTTCATTTTTAAACAATGTTTGCTTCCCCCCTACCCCACCCCCTCAGGTGTAGTCCCCACAGAATTTCCTTCACCAGTGCACCCGTGCACCATCACCTCAGTCCCCTGTGCTCCTACCTCCCTTTGATCCTTCTCCCTCCTCCTCCCCCGCAGGATGTCTCTGATTTATAATTGTCTGTTTTTGTTTTGTTGTGTTTTGTATTATTATTATTTTTTCCCCTGATGTCTAATTTGGTTCCCCTATATTCCTGCTATAAGTGAATCCATCTGATATTTTTCTTTTTTCTTCTAATTAGTATTTTAATATGACAAATTCTAGTATTGATCTCCGGCAAGCCAACACCTCTCATTTCCTTGTTTTCAATTTAATTCGTTTATAAAGGTTTGTCAACAGTCCGAATCAAAATTAGTTTTAAAAAATATGTAGTTCAGATCTCCCTGGTGACACAGGGGTTAAAGTCTCAGCACTATCAAGCTATCACCAGCCACTGAAGCATGAGTTCAACCCCGGCCAGGGAGCTAACCCACATGGGACAGCAGACCTCGCTGTCTTGCCCCACAGCTCCCCTCAACAGTGTATTTCAGTAGATCCGCCTGTTCTGCTCCCCACTCTGGCTCTGGGGAATCCTCAAAACCACCCATTCCCCAGTTCTTGTATGCACAAATAAAATAAATCTTAAAAAAAAAAAATTAGTTCACCTTTACCAAGCAGAAATCATATTTACAAGATTTCTGGGATAGTGTTCTAGGCTATGTATTAATTATTTTCTGTATTCTTGCTCTGGGGTCTTAGTACCATGGTAGGAATGTCCTTCACAGCATTAGCTAATTACTACAGACAGCAAAAAACTTGCCTTATTTGCAACACCAAATAATCTAGACCCCTGACCTCTTCTTTTTGGCTCTTATATTCTAAACTTTTTAAAGATTTATTTATTTATGCATACAAGAACTGCGGTATAGGCCAGAGGTGTGGGGGCGGGATGGGGTGTGAAAGGGTTCACCAGAGAGAGTGGGGATCACAACAGGTGGGTCCACTGAAATACACTGCTGAGGGGAACAGTGGGCAAGTCAGGAGAGGTCTGCTGAACCATGTGGATAGCTCCCTGGCCAGCCGGGGATCGAACTTGTGCTGCAGTGGCTGTGGATAGCTTCATAGGTTGTGTCTTAACCCCTTGTGCCACCATGGAGGCCCAGCTTTTATATTCTAAGTCAAGACTTCACTGTCCTAACCACCCCAGGCCCAGATATCAGACAAGTCTTAGGGGCCTCTATATACCAGAGAATGCTGAAATTATTTATACTAGCCAATTTTAAGTTTACTTACTCAGCTTTGCCATGGAAAACACAACAAAGACTCATGCCCTTGTTTTCCCCTTATTTCTTCTGCCTCCTGACTGACTAGGACGCTTACCTGTGACTCTGAGAGGCACAGTGTACCTTCTCTTGGGAATTGTAACTCTCTACCATGGCAGTCACCTGGTCTATGGGCTCACCACACCTGAGCGGTAACAAAACCCACACTTGAAAACAGCTGTTAGAACAAGTCTAGGGAGTATTTTCTTTGCAAGGTTACAATGCTAACAGTAAACAAATAGGAAAGTTCCTGTCTTAAACTGATCAGTTCCCCTGTACCTTCCAGTAATTCTGCATCCAGGGCAATGGAGAATAAATCTACCCATTATTTTCAAGCAACGAAGCATCAGATATTTGAATCAAGATATGGTTATCTTTCCTGAAATACATTTGTAAGCATCACACCAATGACTCTATTTTTTGTCTTCTTCCTATGATTAGCATTTCACAAAGTTATTTGGTTTTCAATAGCCCAGTGGATTGAATATCTTCTTCTAACATTCCCAGTGTTCTCAAGGAGTCGTGGATTAAGCAGACCAGCAGCAGCCTGGTAGCCTTTATTGGTTTATCAGTGTCCTTTTGAAAATGCAGTGTCTACTAGGATTGGTCACCCTGGGTCTGGAGATTGGTTTATATTGGTGGCTGGCATGTCACCAACTAAAACTTCTGAATTTTTTAATATAAATTGCTGTGAAATACTATATCCTGTAATTAAGTTACTGAGTTGTGCTTCTATTGTAGCTTTTTAGATTCTTATATATGGATGTAACATTCACCATTCTTTGGTATATAAGACTTCCTCCAAAGTGTTTCTTTAATCTTTTTTAAATGATTTTTTAATTACCTAAACAATTTTATTGTAAAAAGCATCAGAAATAGAAGAGACTGTTCTCTGTAACCTTATTCCCAAGATACACTCTTTTAGTGTGTATTACTTTAGACTTGTTCCTAAACATGAGGATTTGTTGTTATTTAATGACTATTAAACATACAAGTGTTTAGCAACTTCATGTAACAACGCTTTTTTCATGTAACAACGCATCTTGGATATTTTAGAGTTGTGCTTACAAGTGAATTAACGAAGTTCCTTGGGGGTACTGTATTTATGAAACACAACACAGAGGTGATTCAATACTTGAATGACTACATTGAGGTAATTCCTTTGTAACTACAGATTACCATTTCAGCCAATAATGGGACAATTTTTCTAAATTTCTGTATAGGTCTTGGATGGCATGTGATTCATTTACATTGCTAATCACATCTAACATTATTCTGATTATATCCACTATTAATTTCAATAATTTGGTCTCAATTATTATGCTTTTGTTAGTGATTTAAAAAGTCAATATAATTTCATTTTATACCAGTCTTAATTTAAACTTTGTAATCCATATTGAAAACATATTCACATAATCTTAGTTGATGAGCCAAGGCAGTTTAAATTCTCTTTCTGGTTTAATATGTAAATTGGCCATCACTGAAAAATTAAGCTATGAGTGTACACTGTATATATACTGGACTAATAGTCTACTGGCTTCATTAAAGGCTTTATTTTCACATTTCTTTCAGTTCAATGTAATTTTTATTAAGACTTAATTTTTTAGAACAGTTTATATTTACAGAAAGAGACAATAGTACAGTTCCCATATATCCATCTCCCAGTTTCTTCTGTATTAGCATCTTATATTAATATGGTACAATTATTACAGTTATTAAATATTGATACTATTAACTAAAGTCTATAGTTTCTCCATATTTCCTTAGTTTTTACCTGATGTCTGTTTTCTTTTCCAGGATCCTATTCACGATCCACATTACATTTAATTGTCATATCCCCTTAGACTGACCTTTCTTGTTTGATGACCTTGACAGTTCAGAGGAATAATACTGTAATTTGTCTGATTTTTTTCTTAAGATTAGACTAAGGTTATGAGGTTTGGGGAAGAACAGTTCAAAGTAATTTTCCCAAAAGGAATTAGATACCTACATATTAAAAACACAACTAGATCTTACCAAACTAATGCCATGGACACAAGACAATTAGTAATGTCCTTATTCTGGATGAACAGATAAAAGAATGAGAAAAGGATGATTTAAAAAAAAAAATTGGCCTTAAAAAAAAAACTAAGAGGTAGATAACATTATAAAGATAGTAAATAACAGTCATTCTAATTCAACCTTCCCAATTAAGCAGATTCTTAAAAAAATTTATATTATGCATACAAGAGCTAGGGTGTAGGCCAAAGGTGCGGAGTTGGCGGGGGGTGGGTTACAGGGGATGAGAGGATTCACCAGAGACAAAGTGGGGAGCAGAACAGGCAGATATACTAAAATACACTGCTGAAGGGAGCAGTGGGTGAGACAGAAGAGGTCTACTGCGCCATGTGGGTTAGCCCCCTGGCCAGGGATCGAACTCGTGCTGCAGTGGCTGGCAACAGCGTAATAGTGCTAAGACCTAACTCCTTGCACCACAAGGGAGTTACCCTCAATTAAGCAGGTTCTTATGAATTAAAATTGTAGACATAAAGTTAGGCAAAAAAACTCACTCATTTGTTTTCAAAGCATACCATCATGTTTCATCTACCAAAAAAACAAGTTGTGCAGGATTTTCCTAACTATGGGTCAAAAATAGCCTGTCTTAAAGCCTCAGAGAATTTATAGAAGACAATCACAATTCTCTCCTGAGTTGTGGTTCTCAAACTTTAGAGTGTATCAAAATCACCTGAAGGGCTTGTTCAGATAGATTTTTGGACAACGTCCCCAGCAGTTTCTGATTCATTCACTGAGTGGGGGATCCAGTCTGAGAAGGTCCATATCTGACAAGTTCCCAGGTGATGCTGAGGTTGCTAGTCTGAGAACCACACTATGAAAACCACTGTTTTAGAGTCAAGAAGGAATCTATGTTTACTAAGTGCTTGTGAGAGTAAGTTGTTTTATATATTAACTACCTTGTTTAGCTATAGAATCTTGGCAAGCAAGTATGATTCTCCCCTTTTCTTTTTTTTAAAGATTTATTTATGCACACAAGAACTGGGGTACAGGCCAGAGATGGGGGGTTGGTGTGAGGATTCACCAGAGACAGACCAGGGAACAGAACAGACTGACTGAAACACACCACTGAGGGGAGCAGCAGGCGAGCCAGGAGAGGTCTGCCGCACCATGTAGGCAGCTCCCCGGCCAGGGATCGAACTCCTGCGGACAGCCTCATAGGTTGCATCTTAACCCCTTGCACCACCAGGGAAGCCCTCCCCTTTTCTTTTAAATGGGCAATAACATGGGTTCAGAGAGACTTAGGAGATATGGGATTAGGTGGAAAAACTACAATTCAGATCACCTTCAATTCTAACACCTATTTTAAAAAAATGTAACATAATGCTTCTTGTTGTTAAAGAAGTGAAACTGGTATGCTAATTTGAAAAGGAGTATCATACCAAAATGTGTACAGTGATTATTTCAGGATAATAGGTTGTTAACTAAAGGACAGAGACTCTTACTGAAAACTAGGCAAAGGCTCTAGGTCATGGAGAAGATTCAATTATCTCTGAACTTCTAAAATATTAAGGGTAAAGTGAATTTACTATGTAATTAACAAAACAAAGAACATGTGCTTAATATAGTGTTGAATATGCCTTAATTACTATTATTTATTATTCCTTACAGAAAAACACAAATTTAAATAAAAATTCTTAAAGGAATAATCTCATTTACATTTACTATAAAACATTATACTTTTTAACTGCCAGTGTACGCTACATAACTAATCAACCATTACTTACTCAAGTTTTGAAGTAATACAGCATGATGGTCTTCAACAAAATGGTCTGACAATTTCTAGAACATGTATCTCCTTTGATAAAGCAAATCAAAAACAATGACATATAAATGAAATAAGCCATGTAGATTTTAAGTGGTACATTCACAGTAAATTAGTCACCAAAAAAGAAGTTTCCAATAATATAACTCTGTCACTTTGTTATACTATATAAGAAGACACTGAGACACAAAATTATTTGGATTGCAGATTAAAAGTTAATGAGGTCTAAACTTCAGAATAGCCCATTCAACTCTGCATCTCTATCAAAACAAGTTTTTTATATAAGAAAGACTCTTTTAAATATCTTTATACAAATTTCCACTTAATACTGCTAATCAAACCTATAGTTATATTTATTTAAATAAGACTTAAATAAACTGCCCAAAATGCTGATTTCATATCACAAAACATCAGTATTTTAAATCACACTTCTGGGTAGTATACTGAATACATTGGTTCCTTAAACATTAACAAGCATATTTTTAAGAATATATTTCCATCGATAGGTCAGGTAAAGCTTTATTAAATGGTAAACACTTTTAACAGTGCAGAAATACAAGTTTCAAAAAAAATACATTCAGAAGATCTGCTGTTCAAATAATATTTTTTCAAAACCAGGTGGAGGAGTATGATAAAATTCACTGAACTGGCAATCCAAAATTGCACTGTCATCAACTGGGGAAAGAAACAGAAAGAAAGCAAATCAGGAGCAAATACCTTAATGTGAATGAATACATACTTATAAAATAAACTATTTCCATTAATATCATAATATCAATAGGTAAGAAGAATAAATGTCAAGTCTACAAAACATAATCTTAGTGAGTAAAAACAGTCACAAAAATAAACAAAATCTGTCAAATACTGAAAGGAGCTAGATCAAAAAATTATTAATAATTATTTTTAGATGGTATGGCTATGGGTAATTTAAATTTTCCTCTCATTTGCTCCCCTGTATTGTTTCAATTTTATATAATTAGGATGTATTACTTTGTAAAAAAAACATTTTACTTTGAAAAAAATTAGATTATCTTCCAAAGTTTCAAAAATAATCAAGTCCCATACAACTAGCCTTCCCTAGTGGTAACATACTACTAGGGACCATATAAAATTATGGGACCATATAAAAGTCAGAAAAGTGACATTGACACAATAGTATAAACTGCAAACCTTATTCAACTTCCACAGGTTTTTAGCAGCATTTATCCATGAGAAATGAACACATATTCATGCAAAGACTTGTACATGAATGTTCATAGTAGCTTTATTTGTAATGGCCTAAAAATGGAAACAGTCTAAATATCCATTAACAAGTACAGGGGAAAAACAAACTGATATATTTACACAATGGCCTATATTACTTTGCAATAAAAATTAATTATTGATAAATGCTACAACATGGATGAATCATAAAATAATTGTTAAATGACTAGAAACCAGACCAAAAAAGGGCACAAATCTGAAGATATATAATATTATAAAAATGCAAAACAATCTACACTGATAACAAGCAGATTAGTGGTTGTCTGACTGAGGCTGAAGTGGAAAGAGGGTGCAGTGTGAGCAGAAGGATTACAAAGGAGCAGGAGAAAACTTTTAGGTGTGATGAATATGTTCATTATCTTGACTGTGGTAATGACAAGAATTTATAGTATTTGATAAACTGCAAATATGTTTAATGTACAATACTAAATATTTTCTATTCCATAACAAATGCAGTGAAAAGTCAAGTACTGGGTTTGAAATTCATGAAGTCACAAAGTGATTTTAACAAAGATGGCTTCAGTGAAGTGGGGGTAAGGGCAGTCAGATTAAGTTACGGAACAAATGAATGATACAAAAAAGACAGTGGTGTAGGCTATTCTGTAAAAAAAAAAAAGTCATATTGATAAGGGTAATAAACACAGGTCTAGTAAGGAGTACAAGTTTAAGGGAGAGTTTTTTGGGATGAGAATGACTCAGAATTTTATAAGCATTAAAGAGAGGTTGTGGGGCCTCCCCGGTGGCGCAGCGGTTGAGCGCTCGGTTGCGAAGCTTCCCGCAGCCTCTGCGGCGCCGGTTCGATCCCCGGCTGATCCCCGGCCACCGGAGGAGGGTCCCACATGGCGCGCAGACCTCTCCTGCCGCCCGCTGCTCCCCTCAGCAGTGTACTTCGGTCCTTCTGCCTGCTCTGCTCCCTGCTCTGGCTCTGGTGAATTCTCTCACCCTCCCGTGCTTCTGACTGTGCCCAGTGCATGTATAAACAAAACAAACAAACAAACCAGCAAACAAATAAATAAAGCATGCCTCTATTAAAAAAAAAAATAAATAAATAAAGAGAGGTTGTGACAAGATATATAAATAAAATAACTCACAAAGTGAAGTCCTGGAGCTGGGGGGCAGGGGGGCGGTGAATTCTAGACTACAGACTGTTACCACTCACTGCCTATGAGACTGGATGGAAAGGCAGCAAGACTGGAATTGGTCAGAAAAGTTTAAGAAGGGCAAGGGAAGGAAGCTGGAGTTCACTGTTGATAACCTGTTTCTTTATAACGTAGAAGGTAGGATAAATAGAGAGGTCGAGAAGCCCAATGAAAATTTGAAATGTTAAGAGATGTAAAAGATTACCAAAAACAAAAAACAAAAAACCCAAAACCTGAGAGCTTAGAGTATGCTGGAAGTCATAGCTTTGTAATGACATGTTTCTTTAGTGTCATACATTTTTTTCTCTTCATAGGTTGAGTCTAACTCAGAAAAAGTGAATGAGATTGATCTATGACTAGGAATGAAATGGAGAGTAAGGGAAACAAAAGTTACTGGGAATAAGTCTCATTTTTATCTTTGATAGTATCAGGGTATTAACATATTTGTTTTAATGAGACTGATTTGTAAATTTATGAGACATACTTTACTATTTGTAATTATAACTTTACAACACTAAAAATAATACTAACTCAAATAATTTAGAGTAACTTCATTTGCGATACTTTTTTGAATAACTCATTCTACTGATATTATTTTATTTCTCATGCTAAACTATTTCAAATATTAAGATACATTTCTGTCTAGTTAATTAAAGAATGCTTTCAGGCTTACCCAATATGGCAAGAACACAAACCTAAATTAAGTTTGAGCATACACTAATATGTGCAAATGACTGAAAAGTAATTTTTAGGATGAATGAAAACCTTAACTAAAAAGTAAAGTACAGACTTTGGTTTTTATTATACCATCATATTAATGCACATATTTACCAAATACCTGTATTTGTTATTGTATACTTTTCTGACACCCCAAATAACCACTAATACTGCTACTTTTCCAGCAAATTAGTACAAAAAGCTAAAAATTCATTATTATGGTTAAAATCTAAGGACTTACATAATTAAGAATTAGAAGTCTGCTAAAACAATTTAGCTCTGCTAAAACAATAGGCAGAGAAATCATAACTGCTGATTTAAAGTTAATAACAAAATGTTTATGAATAAAGTAATATAATATATGGCATTTCTTTACGATTACATTTCTTGGTCACCTAATTCTCCCTGATGACTAACAGAAAGAACACTGTAAATTCAATAAAGTTTTTTGACAAAAAAGGAAATTTTTTTTGACAAAAAAGGAAATTTTTTTCAGTAAAAAATTTTTGACAAAAAAGGAAATAAGGTCATTTCATATTTAAGCATAACCATTGCATTTAGCATGCTTTTTAAAATATGGGGAATAAAACCTTCCTTAGTCCTGCAAAATCTTATTGAGTATATTACAACTTGTTCAGTCTTTTGAAAGACAGTTATAAAGTTAATAAAAAAGCCAAGGAAAAGTGAACATATCTAATAATATTTAAAAATACTTCAGCTTACCATAAACAACCGGATACACTGTACCTCGTATACCTGATGCTGGACAATGCATGTTTTTTCCATTCAAATACACATTTAATTCTACATGGTCATATGTAATACCCTAGAAAGAAAATATTGAAAAGGGTAAAAATGTAAATGTTACATAAAAACATGAACAGTCAGAGAGCACTGAAAGCATGAAAGCATGAAAACACAAAAAACTAACCAAAAGATCACGATAGCTTTCAGTAAGGGTTTTCAATTTTGTAGAGTTCTATTTGAATTGCGCTAAAAGAAATTCGTGGCAATTGCACAGGGGGAAAAGTCAGACAAAATCCCAAGAGTCCACAACAGAGGTAAAACAAATGACAATAGTTAAATCCTAATATAATATTCCTAATCTGGATCTCATATTTTGAAAATTAAGATGATATAACTACTGTATACTGTGAATAGAGAAACTTTTTAAATTCATACAGAAAATACTGTTCTCTATAAAAGTTGATGTTGAGGGGGAAAACAATGAGGTTTTTTAAGATGTGAAGTAGAGTCCACATACAACTTATTTCCAAAAAAGAAAATACACATTTCTTTATCTCTTTATTTTGGTTTTAAATATGTCCAGTGTATTACCAAGGTAAAGTTTATATTTACAACAGAATATAACAGGCAATTAATATCAAGTTGAAAAACAGAAAACAGGGCCTCCCCGGTGGCGCAGCGGTTGAGCGCTGGGTTGCGAAGCTGCCCGCAGCCCCTGCAGCGCTGGGTGGATCCCTGGCTGCTCCCCGGCCACAGGAGGAGGGTCCCACAAGGTGCGCAGACCTCTCCTGCCGCCCGCTGCGCCCCACAGCAGTGTACTTCGGTCCTTCTGCCTGCTCTGCTCCCGCTCTGGCTCTGGTGAATTTTCTCACCCTCCCGCTTCTGACTGTACCCAGTGCTTGTATAAATAAATAAATAAATCTTTAAAAAAGAAAAAGGAAAACAGAAAACAACAGCTTAAAAGATGTTTTTAAAAGACAATGGGAGGGCCTCCCGGGTGGCACAGCGGTTGAGCGCTGGGTTGCCCGCAGCCTCTACAGCGCAGGTTTGATCCCTGGCTGCTCCCCAGCCACAGGAGGAGGGTCCCACATGGCGCGCAGACCTCCCCTGCCGCCCGCTGCTCCCCTCAGCAGTGTACTCCAGTCCTTCTGCCTGCTCTGCTCCCCGCTCTGGCTAGGTGAATTCTCTCACCCTCCCGTGCTTCTGACTGTACCCAGTGCTTGTATAAATCAATAAATAAATCTTAAAAAAAAAAAAAAGACAATGGAAAAAATGTATTACTTTGTACGTTATTAATGGTACAAAAATCACATTAATAAGTTACTCTTATTAAAATGCTAGAAAACATGACAGTTTTTGTTATGTATCAACAACTATCTTAGACATTTCATATTAACTCACTTAATCCTCAAAACAAGATAGGCATTATTATCATCCCCATTTCACAGATGAGGAGGTAGTTAAAGCGTAAGAGATTAAGTAATTTACCAAAGGATGCACAATTAAGTGGCAGAACTGAGATTTAAATGCATGCAATATGGTTTCAAAATGCTCTTAACTGCCAGGCCATATTACTTCTCTTAAAATTTATAAAATAGTTACTACCTTATGACAAAAAGAGAGAACAGTGGAGATCTTTCAACGGAGAAATCATCACAGATCAGGAAGTAACAACTACAAAGATTTTTGACTATGGATAAATTATATTAACCTAAAACATTTTTGGAGGTTGAAATTGATGTTCTAGATAATCTAGTTTTAACTTCTCCATTTTCCAGTTAAGAAAACAAAGGCTCAAAATAAATCTGTGTTAATTGCTTCAAAGATTCCCCTCAAATCTTAGCAAAGCCAGAATTAGATGAAACAATGATTTATTAATACCTAAGGAATGCTGAGAAAGATAAAGAGGTGATTTTTATTTTCCTTTCAGTTCATGTATCCTGCAGTTAGAGTAGGCTGCAATTCAGGCACCCTTCACCACCTGTTGGCAGCACACTCTATTGCAAGTATGTTTTAAACCCAAGCTCCAGCATAGCAGTAAAATCCCACCAGCAAAGAAAGTGAGCAAAGTTGTGAGAACCAACACCCTATCAGCAAGAGTTTAGTTCAAGTGTCTTGTAACAATTTTTTCTTTAAAAAAGTTTTTTTCCCCATCAAAGTTTTAATTTTCCATTTGTGTACACAAATACACAAGTTTGGGGATACAACTTCACACCTCAACATGCACGCACGCTTCCCTTGTCTTCCACCAAAATTCCTGTGCCCATACCCTATCACCTTACTCCCTTTATAGGCCCTCCTCTCCACCTCCCTGCTAGTAGCCACCATAGTTTTCAGAAACTGTTGTTTTTGTCTGTTTGTTTTCTTTAGTTATTTATATTCCCGAATGAGAAAAATCAGCCAGAAATTGCCTTTTACTTTCTGACTTATTTCACTTAGTATAATCACTTCAAGGTCCATCCATATTTTTTCAAAAGTCACTTTTTTTTAACAGCTGAGTAGTATTCCACTGGGTATATATGTACATCACAACTTCCCTGACCAGTGTTTTGTTGATGGGCATTAAGGTGGACAATCTTTCCTTTCATATGATCTAGCAACTAGATTTGATTCTGCCATAATGGTAACAAAAATTCTAAGTGTTTTATTCATTTATCAATAATTGTTTGAAGGTTTAGTGAACAGATTCTGAAATAAAACAGTCTGTATTATAATCCTGGGATTACCCCGTACAAGAAGTTACTTTCTCCTAATCTGTAATATGGTGATAATACCACCACCTGTTTCATAGAGTCACTAAGAGGGTTAAACAAGTTAGTCCCTACCAGGCACTTTAACCAGTACATGGTCCATAGTGTTTGCTGCTGCTATTGCTAGTGTTATTACTATTATATTGAATGTTTACAATCTATAAAAGTAAACGGAAAATACAATTTCAGAATCCAATTTATACTTCTCAAATTATACGTAAAAGGAAAAACTAAGCATAACCTGTTTCACGTATACATTCCTAACACTACAGTAGGTCCTACTGATACTGTATCATTATTATATGAATACAATGGTTGGTTGGATGTTTAAAGCTTATTTTTCTTGATTTCTCCTCAGGGAATCGTATAGGGTTGAATTCTACACATGAGACTGTTTTACCTCTTATAATTCATTCTACTTTTCCTAAGCTGCTTTGAGCAATTTGGTAAAATTTGTTTTCATGTGTTTCAACTAGGAAGATAAATATGGCTATGTAACTCTCTTGATTCTAAATATATTCATGTAAGTCCTCCTTTTATCAGAATGGTGATAAAAACTCAAAGTCTAATTCAATAATGCTGGCAGACTAAAAATGACATTCTTAAATCTGTCACTTTGTGGTATTAGTCACTTCAATGAATGAATTAGGAAGGCAAGAATAACACATAGCAGAAGTTCAGTATACTAACAATGAAAGACACTTGTTACTGAGCATTCTTTCTTATGTTTGAATTTTATCTGCTAGTGTGAACAGGTAGACAGCATCAACTTAATTTCAAGATTCTTTTTCAAGAAATGACAAATCAATTAAGTGTGTTCTATATCATGGACATCTGGCAAAGAGCTGCAAATATAGAACCAACTATTCAGAACAAAGATCAAGGAAAAGTAAATTTTAAAAATGGCTTACAAATTTTGTTCTTTTGTGACTGCCTTTTTTTAGTCAATTTTTTGGGGAAATCACTTTAAACAATTTATCTATTAAAAAAATAACTGGTGTGGGCCTCCCCTGGTGGTGCAGCGGTTGAGTGCTGGGCTGCGAAGCTGCCTGCAGCCTCTGCAGCGCCGGTTCGATCCCCGGCCGCTGGCAAGGGTCCCACATGGCGCGACAGACTTCTCCTGCCGCGCCCACTGCTCCCCTCAGCAGTGTATTTCAGTCAGTCTGCCTGTTCTGTTTCCTACTCTGGCTCTGGTGAATTCTCTCACCCTCCCGTGCTTCTGACTGTACCCAGTGCTTGTATAAATAAATAAATACTAAAAAAAAACAAAACTGGTATTCAAATTTTTTAAATTGTGGAAAAGAGAAAGATCATATACTAATTAAAACCTTAATTTCCACATCTTTCTTCATTCTCTCCAAAATACTGTACCTTTCTTTACTTCAGCCAGTATTTACCTTGTTTGTGTTACCTTATTATTAGAAATTCTCTTTCATTATTTAGATTCCTTTCAACTTGTACTAGAGCCAGGAAGCCATGGTTCTGTTTATAAGGGCAACTTTGCTAAAGGAATCTGTTCTCAGTCAATAGCTAATAGACTGAACTCAGTATATAAAGTTCCTGAATAGCACTGTGAGAGGAAGTACCTAGAAAGAACAGAAAGGGATCTTTGAATTACATTTTCAGTAGGGCTGCTTTGATAAAGACTTGAATATATCTAGTTGAAAATAAAAATAGAAGTCTTAATAATATGTAACTCTATTCCCTGTTTTCCAAAAAATCTTTTCTACATCAAACTTAAGATTAAGTTGAATGAAGAACAACATTCCTGGTAAGATGCCAAAATTCTTTAACAGAAGTTCATAACAAATTAATAAATATAAAAAATTTTCTCTAGAAGATCTCCAGTTGTAAAAGTAACCAATATTTTCTAACATAAGGATCGGTCACCTTTTAAAATTATGAGTCAAGATTTCTCTGAAGCGTGAAAAGTAAGACATGTTAATCAACTACCAATCTTAATTCTTCTGAATGGAATTAAGAGGTCACACTTATTTCTTGGTCAGCAGCAGCTCTATAAAGGAAAAGGCAGTGGGGCCTCCCCATGGGTTAAAATCTCAGCGCTATCAAGCTATCACCAGCCACTGCAGCTCAAGTTCCACCCCTAGCCAGGGAGATAACCCACATGGCGCAGCAGACCTTTCCTGCCTCACTTGCTGCTCCCCTCAGCAGTGTATTTCAGTAGATCTGCCTGTTCTACTCCCCATTCTGTCTCTGGTGAGTATTCTCCCCCTCTATACCTCTGGTTATACACCAGTTCTTGTATGCATAAATAGGGGGCTTCCCTGGTGGCGCAGTGGTTGAACACCGTGCTGTGAAGCTGTCCGCAGCCTCTGCAGCTCGGGTTCAATTCCCAGCAGGCCAGGGAGAAACTCGTGCGGTGTGGCAGACCTCTCCTGCCTCACCCGCTGCTGCTTCCCTCAGCAGTGTCTTCAGTCTGTCTGCCTGGTCTGCTCCCTGCTCTGTCTCTGGTGAACTCTCTCACCCTCCCGTGCCTCTGACTGTATCCCAGTTCTTGTATAAATAAATAAATCTTAAAAAAAAAAAAAAGTAAATAAATAAGTCGTGGGCCTCCCTGGTGGTGCAAGGGGTTAAACACAGCATTATGAAGCTATCCGCAGCCTCTGAAGCATGAGTTCGATCCCCGGCCAGCCAGGGAGCTACCCACATGGCATAGCAGATCACTCCTGTCTCACCTGCTGCTCCCCTCAGCAGTGTATTTCAGTAGATCTGCCTGTTCTGTTCCCCAGTATCCCTGGTGAATCCTCTCACTACGCCCCCCTCCACTCCCCCAAACACACACACACAACCCTCTGGCCTGTACTCCAGTTCGTTCATGTATAAATAAGTAAATCTTTAAAATAAATAAATAAATGAATAAGTCTTTAAAAAAATAAAGGAAAAGGCAGTTAGGTAAGGCAGCAATATAAACACCAAGTGCTGTCTTCGGAAAATATTTGTACCACCTCATTAGATTCAATCCCAGTTCTCTGGAGTTCAAACCACCAACTCCCAGTAAAATCCTATATACTAAAAGTATTTTAAGTTTAGTAACTTACAGTGGAAAACAACTGCACTAGGAAACTTACCACCACATCTCCCTCCTGTGGAAGGCTATTTGCTGGCAGTCTGTTTTTCTCCTCGTTGTTGTGGTACAGGGCTCCATCATTTCTCATCACAAGACTGTGCACATCTCGGCCAAGAGGAATCTGATTCAAGTTAACTTTCTGAGTTGCAACACCAATACCCCAGATTCCTAAAAATACAGTATTTTAAATGCCCTTAAAATTTGTAGAATATAAATGAGTTATTTTAAAAGACTATAAATTGTTTTTGAAAGTAGCATTTTATCACTATTTTTTGCTAATCTTAAAAAACAATCTTCTTGGGCCTCCCGGGTGGCGCAGTGGTTGAGCGCTGGGTTGCGAAGCTGCCCGCAGCCTCTGCAGCGCCGGTTTGATCCCCGGCTGCTCCCCGGCCACCGGAGGAGGGTCCCACATGGCGCGCAGACCTCTCCTGCCGCCCGCTGCTCCCCTCAGCAGTGTACTTCGGTCCTTCTGCCTGCTCTGCTCCCTGCTCTGGCTCTGGTGAATTCTCTCACCCTCCCGCGCTTCTGACTGTACCCAGTGCATGTATAAACAAAACAAACAAACAAATAATAAATAAATAAAACATGCCTCTATTAAAAAAAAAAAATCTTCTTTTAAAAATAGTTTACAAACTATACTATGATCTCCGTAGATATAGTACAGCCTAAGAGATAAGAGAGTAGACCCTAGGTTTAAATCTTGATTTAGCTATGTTACCTTGGGCGAGTTACTTAACCTCTCTCTGTTTCTTCTCTTTTGAACTATGGAATTGAATAGTACTCACCTCACAAGGTTATTAAAAGATACAGTAAGATAATCCAAGTAAAGCACTTAGAACAGTACAATTTTTTTTTTAAAGATTTATTTATTTGTTTGTTTGTTTATACAAGCACTGGGCACAGTCAGAAGCACGGGAGGGTGAGAGAATTCACCAGAGCCAGAGCGGGGAGCAGAGCATGCAGAAGGACCCAAGTACACTACTGAGGGGAGCAGCGGGCGGCAGGAGAGGTCTGCGCGCCATGTGGGACCCTCCTCCAGTGGCTGGGGAGCAGCCGGGGATCAAACCGGCGCTGAAGAGGCTGCGGGCAGCTTCGCAACCCAGCGCTCAACCGCTGTGCCACCAGGGAGGCCCCTACAATTTTTTTTTAAATGAGTAAAGCGCAGTATTAAACGTAAGCATTTACAAAAGTAAAAGTGCTAGGTATCATCATCATCATCATTAGTCCCTAAAAAACATTTTTGAGAGTTACACATTAAATTTAAATAGCCTGGAGTTCTACCTCAAGTACTACCTTTGAGAAATGGGAAATTACTGTCTTTAGTTTTTGCACTTATAATGTGACAAATAATGTATGTCTTCATCAATATAATGGAAAGGAGAAAATTAATAATATAATGTGTAGTCATCTTCTTATCCTATACTTTTAAGTCAGTAAATCTAAAATCTTTTAGTCTAAACTGACTTTTAGAGCAAGCAGCTCTCCTTTTAACCATCTAAACAGAATACTTAGTGCTCTGATTTTGTCTTAAACTGTTTCCTTCTCAGTTATAATAAAAAGTTAGGAGAAATTTTATATATGGAAGGTTTGAAGACATTGTTGTCAATCAACTAATTTTTCTGGATTGGGTGAGATTATCAAATAATTACATGTCTAGGTTTCACTATCTTGGCCTCTGAAACAATATGACTATACTTTATCCTCTAAAGTGGACATTTTTTGCAGACTATTTTTATTTATTTTAAACATTTTTATTTTCTTTCACTGTTGTGTATTTTTGTACAATATCTGATTTCTCTCCTCAAGTATAGTCCCCCTAAATCTCCCACCACAGTGATAATTTAAATGAAAACATTTATAAAGTGCTTAGATAACTTCATGGCAGAACAATATATGGATCAAGAAATTTACAGTACAGGGCAAACCACAAGGTTTAGTTTCCTAATCAAACCCAAATCTCTGTCCAAAATTGGGGCCACAAAAAAAACGAAGCTAAGAAATTCAAGAGATAAAGTTCAATCACAGTATTGTTCCCCAATTTTTCAAATATTAACCTATTTAGGTTATGCTGGGATTTTGTTTCCTATGCTCCTCATTTGAAAGTCTTTTATTAAATTCTCTCTCTCTCTCTTTCTCTCCTCCTTTTTGTAATAAAGTGGGATATTTTAAGAGTGACAGAAGGTGATAATACTAATTTCATGGGACAATTGAGACAGGGTTAAAGAGTTTCCTTACTCCTAGAGAACTGTGCATGCTTTGATACACTTTGGCACAACTGCCTCAAGCTTTTAGTGAGGAATCAATACTACAAACTCCAACCATGCATTTATTCTAGGGACATCATTAAGGATATCTTCCTTTACAGAAAATCCACATAGAAATTTATATGGGATTTAAGGCTGAGGAAAATATGTGCTTCACTTAAGTTATACTTGAGAAGATTACAGTAACCTGAGACACTCTACAGCCAGTGAGCTAACTTAAAAAAGAATGGAATGGGGGATAGATCCTTATTTCCTCATAAACTTAAGAAAATAAGTATCTAAAGCTAATTTGGAAACAAGCCCCAGAGTGGTTTTATTTCAAGCTAGTTGAATGAGAGTAGGATATATTTACTCACTCCTGTTTTCTTATTTTGTATCTATTTTACTAATGTAGTATTTTTTTTGTTTTAATAGAGGCATGTTTTATTTATTTATTTATTTGTTTGTTTGTTTTGTTTATACATGCACTGGGTACAGTCAGAAGCGAGGGAGGGTGAGAGAATTCACCAGAGCCAGAGCGGGGAGTAGAGCAGGCAGAAGGACCGAAGTACACTGCTGAGGGGAGCAGCGGGCAGCAGGAGAGGTCTGCGCGCCATGTGGGACCCTCCTCCGGTGGCTGGGGAGCAGCCGGGGATCGATCCGGCGTCATAGAGGCCGCGGGCAGCTTCGCAACCCAGCGCTCAACCGCTGCGCCACCGGGGAGGCCCTATTTTACTAATGTAGTATTACATTATAAATTTTCCTTACAATGAAGCTAAAAAAAGCTATTTCCCCATATAGAATATGGCCAGTCAACTAATTATTTACTGTAATATTCAGAAATGCTGTACAATTCTAGAAACTCCATAAATTTTTTTAAAGATTTATTTATTTATGCATACAAGAACTGGGGTACAGGCCAGAGGTGTGGGGGAGTGAGCGGATTCACCAGAGACAGAGTGGGGAACAGAACAGGCAGATTGACTGAAATACACTGCTGAGGGGAGCAGCAGGTGAGTCAGGAGATGTCTGCTGCACCATGTAGGTAGCTCCCTGGTCAGGGACTGAACTCCTGCTCCAGTGGCTGCAAATAGCTTCATAGGTTGCGTCTTAACCCCCTGAGCCGCCAGGGAGGACCTCCATAAATGTTTTTAAGAGAAGTATTCTAAATTTTCTGACTGCTTCAGAAGACACTGAATCGGGGCATCCTCATGAGTTAAAACTCAGAATCATAAAATCATAAGGTTAATTTTGTCCCAAGATAAAATACCAAAAGTCTAGACTTTATATGATTGACTAAATGAAATGGCGCATTTAGTACCCATTAATAATTATAGTAATAATAATGCTAGTGCCTTACACACATTATGCCATATGTTCTTTCTTTAAAACAACTTGCGTACATATATACCTCATGTGAAGGAGAAAGGATAGCTCCTGAAACTCTGCTTTATAGATGAGAAAACAACTTAACTATATTAACTAATTTAACCAGGCTCAAACAAGAGGGTAGGAGAAAAAAGGAGAAGTAGGTTAAGTCAGAGTTTGGTACTTTTCTCTACCTGCATTAATCTTTTTCATATATTGAAAATTATTCTTAATTTTAGAATTAGAACTTTTGATAGCAAAGTACCATTATACTAACCTGTAGATTGGATTTTGAATTCAAAGTAGCTTTTGTTTTGATGTAAAGGTGCACTCGCTAAACAACCTCCTGTTCCACATATTCTTCTTCCATTTTTCACAATGACAACATCAGTACCTAAACACAAAATGCAGACACTATTATAAAAAGATTTTTGTTTTCTTTCCAAAAATCAAGGTGAATTTCTGCTCCACTTTTAACTTTTAGGTCACAAAAAAATAGGGCTGCTATATATTCTTTGAAATACAGAACATTTATACTAAATATTAATTCATAGCTAGAAATCTTATTTAATTTAGTAGTTTCAAGTATACCATAATAACTCTAAATTATACTAAATATTCAAACACTTTTAAGGTAGAAATACTACTTTAATATCTAGCCAATAAATCAATTTGATGATTTCATAAATCTCTTAAATAAAAGACACTAAAAGTTTGGCAAATTGGTACAATTTTCAATTTAATCCAAATAATTAAGACAATCTATTAAAAACTGGTTTAATATTAGCATAACAGTCCATGACATATCTCTCAGAAACATCTTTGAGGACTCATCCCCAGAAGCAAAGAAAATCAAGAAAAAGATAAACAGCTGGGACTATATCAAACTAAAAAGCTTCTGTACAGCAAAAGAGACGGTAACCAAAACAAAGAGAAACCAAACAGATTGGGAAAATATATTTGCATTCCATACAAATATTAAAGGACTGATATCAAGGATTTACAAAGTGCTTACACAACAACAAAAACAAAGCAAATAACCCAGTCAAAAACTGGGCAGAAAAGCTAAAAAGACACTTCTCCAAAGAGGAAATGCAAATGGCCAACAGGCATATGAAAAAATATTCAAATCACTTATACTCAGGGAAATGCTAATGGAAACCACAATAAGATAGTACCTCACACCAGTGAGAATGGCACATATTTAAAAAATTGGCAACAACAAATGCTGGCGAGGATATGGAAAAACAGAACCTTCTTACACTGCTGGTAGGACCCTCAAATTTGTGGAGGAGGGCCTCCCCGGTGGCGCAGCGGTTGAGCGCTGGGTTGCAAAGCTGCCCGCGGCCTCTGCGGCGCCGGTTCGATCCCTGGCTGCTCCCCGGCCACCGGAGGAGGGTCCCACATGGCGCGCAGACCTCTCCTGCCGCCCGCTGCTCCCCTCAGCAGTGTACTTCGGTCCTTCTACCTGCTCTGTTCCCCGCTCTGGCTCTGGTGAATTCTCTCACCCTCCCTCGCTTCTGACTGTACCCAGTGCATGTATAAACAAAACAAACAAACAAACAAATAAATAAATAAAACATGCCTCTATTAAAAAAAAAAAATTTGTGAAGGACCTTCAAATTACTAAAAATGGATCTACCATGTAACACAATGATTCCACTTCTAGGAATGGACCCAAAGGACACAAAAGCATTAATTTGAAAGGAAACCTGCATTCCTATGTTTACTGCAGCACTATTTACAATGGCTAAGATATGGAAACAACCTAAATGCTCCAAAACAGATGAATGGATCAAGAAGATGTGGTATATATACACACAATGGAATACTACTCAACAATTAAAAAAAATAAACTCATGTCATTTGCAGCAACATGGATAGAGCTAGAAGAGATTATGCTTAGTGAAATAAGTCAGAAGGAAGAAGAAAAATATCGAATGATTTCATTATAGGAGGACTACAGGGAAACCAAACAAAAGGTCCAAAAAAAAAAAAAGGACAAAACTTGCAGGCAAACTATAAATCTGAGGCATAATGCAAGGGAGTGGCAGGTAGAGGGGTCAAAATAGGGAAGGGAAGAGCACAAGGGATTACTGTGACAGTTCATGGGTGATGTAGTAGTGAGAGATTTATAGGGATTACACCTGAAGGAAGAAATTAAATATTGTACAAAAAGGAACAACGATGTTAAGAAAATAAAAGGTTTAATCAAAAAACAAAACAGGGCCTCCCTAGTGGCGTATCGGTTGAGCACCGGGTTGCGAAGTTGCCCGCAGCCTCTGCAGCGCCGGTTCAATCCCTGGCTGCTCCCCGGCCACCAGAGGAGGGTCCCACATGGCACGCAGACCTCTCCTGCCGCCCGCTGCTCCCTTCAGCAGTGTACCTCGGTCCTTCTGCCTGCTCTGCTCTCCCCTCTGGCTCTGGTGAATTCTCTCACCCTCCCGCGCTTCTGACTATACCCAGTGCTTGTATGTATGTATGTATGTATGTATGTATGTATAAATAAATAAATAGATAGATAAATCTTTAAAAAAACAAAAACAACCAAAAACTGGTTTAAGAGATACAAAGTACTATGTTACTAAACTAGTTAAGTAAGATCTGAGAGAATATGGAATATGGAAAGGAACATATTATCTATCTTTTTTTTTTTTTAAAGATTTATTTATTTATTTATTTATTTATACAAGCACTGGGTACAGTCAGAGGTTCGGGAGGGTGAGAGAATTCACCAGAGCCAGAGCAGAGAGCAGAGCAGGCAGACCGACAAAGTACACTGCTGAGGGGAGCAGCGGGCGGCAGGAGAGGTCTGCGCGCCATGTGGGACCCTTGCCGGCAGCCAGGGATCGAACTGGTGCTACAGAGGCTGCGGGCAGCTTCACAACCCAATGCTCAACCACTGTGCCACCGGGGAGGCCCCATATTATCTATCTTCTTGAAGTAAATGCTTTATTTCTTGACAGAAAAATACTAATCTTAGGGTCTTTAAAGCTGTTTATAAGATAGCTACTGTCAATCACATTGCAAATATGTAAACAAGTTTTCAACATCATTAAGTGTACTTTATATTCATGGAAAACCTGAGCTCAAATAACATCTGATAGCTAAAAGTGAGAAAAACTCTGTCTCCTGATAATGTGGTTCCAAATAAAAGTCTTTCCCAAATCTCAGTTTAGGAAAGCATGTGTATATGAGGCCATGAAGAGACTTAACATAATTCTTATATGAAAAAAAAAAAAATTCCCATAATATTGAGGCATGAGACCCTCTCCTACCTCCACCCCAAGATCTGTGACAAGTATTACTGTAACAGGGTGGTCCCCAGGAAAGGGGGAGTTTCCAGGTTTCCTGCCCCACCCAAGGGAGGGTGGAGCTGAGCAGGAAAAGAAGAAGCTGCAGAGGATTTTGAGGAAGGAAGCAGAATGGAGCCAGAAGGAGACCTGGAGGAGAAGCATGGAGCCTAGAGATATGTGAAGAAACTGCGCTTGTCTTTTGGTCGTGGACTGGGTGACACAGATGTGGGTGAGACCCGTGGGGAGGTGACAATGGCAGCTTTTATCTTGATTTTGATTTTGCTCTTTTCCTTCCGGACTTGTCTGGTTGTTTCTGACCCTTTTCTGTGGGTCCCCACTGGAAGATGCTTTAGACTTGCGGCAGGCTTTGGGGCCTTGCTCTGGGCCAATCCCATTTGGATGGAGTTTTACCCACAAGGGGACGGGTAACTTTGGGTGCTTGATTTAGAAACTAGATTCTTTGCCTTTCCTGTATTGTTTCCTAGTTGTATTAAAGTTGCTTCCCATTAAAGTCTCATATGTTTTATGTTAATGTGGCGGATGGCAGAACCCTATGTAGAATAGGCAGGTTTGCGGGGTTTGGGCTGCCCCTCTCCCTGCCCTGTAACATTACTACTTCCCTGGTAATAAGTGTGTAAGTCAAGATCTGACTATTGGAATTATATGATGCTTCTCTAGAGCAGGGTAAATAAAGCCAGAGCATAGTAACAGCAGGTGTTAACAAGGAGGCAGTTTTTTTTAATTAACTTACTAAAGAATTTATAATTAAACAAAATTTTTAGGGACAAATACGTAAGAGAATTGCAAACATTCAGATGCTAAGACAATCCTACACTGATGGATTTTAGAGATACTCTTAAATAAGGTAAAAGTAAGGTCATATAAACTGATTACTAAAAATACATTAGCATCCATTTTTTTGTTCTAATCACAAATGCTAAACCCCCAATTCCTGGAAAGTATCTTTATAAATAATTTATATCTGATGACCCCATATATTCCCAGCAGGCTGGAGTTCATCCAGGGCCCAGCAACTCCTTGAGACCATGGAATACTTGACATCTAGCAGCTACTCAACCAATAACTGACAAAGGAATGAATGAAAGTACTCTGCTGATTCACTTTGTAGTGGAGATGTCTTGTATTTCCCAACAGACTACTATTACATTAGAACAGTCCCAAGGAAGCTGACCCAATCTCTGGCTGCAGGGCTATAGCTCTCACCTAGGCTAAGTCAGTGTGTTCCACATTTCCTGGCCACTGTGATTGAATGAAAAATGCTTATTAGACCTACATCACTATGATCAGACAGTACTGGGGCTTTTTGCACATACAGATGAAACACTAATTTTTTTTTCCATAGAAGAACTGGGGTGAAGGCCAGAGGTTGGGGTGGTATGAGAGGATTCACCAGAGACAGAGTGGGGAGCAGAACAGGCGGATCTACTGAAATATGCTGCTGAGGGGAGCAGCAGGCTAGACAGGAGAGGTCTGTTGCGCCATGTGGGTTAGCTCCCTGGCCAGGGATAGAATTGAGGCCATAGTAGTGATAGTGCTGAAAACTCATTCTTCATGGTACTGAATGAAGAAGCCTGCAACCCAGGGAGCTGCTGCAAGTTATCATCAAAGTTAGCCTTCAGGAATGAGCAGCAGAAGGCAACGAAAATAGAGAAAAGCAGCCCAGTTCTTTCAACATAAAGCAGAAACGCAAGAAACTCATGGCCTCCAGATGAAGCAAACTACAAAGGTGTACAATTTAAAATAAGAACAACCTAGTTACCCTTAAAGCTAGGAACATGTTCCTTTGAGAAACACAAGGATATTATCAATAGGACTCCGAGAAAAGAATGTAATTGGAGCATATTACCCATATAAAAATGAGACAATATAAAAACTGTTTGAACTCATTCTTTAAAAGTAGTCTTTGTGTATGACTGTTCTATAAACAAGTTATTATGGTTACAGAGTAGAATATGAACTGCAACTGTAACTATATATTGCCAAGCTGACAGAAGCTGAAGATGCAACTAAGGAGTGGTGAGAAGGTATGAGAAAGGTTGGGTGTAAAAAACTGATGAAACAAACAGGAGAGGATTAA